AATCATGTCAAGCACTCTCACTTATTCTTAGGTTATTAAGTTTTGCCCCTCTGGTATGTGTACTGCTTAGAGGTCCCTGGGATCTCTCTAAACTCTGGCATATCAGGGCTGGAACTTCCACACTACACACAATCAGTCTTTATTTGAGGAAAGTCTGGGTGTGAGCACTGCCCGGGATCCTTGAAGTCCTTAGGGAACTCTAACACACCTGGGCACGAAATTGGGCTATGGAATCTTGGGCATTTGAGACTAATGAAGGCTTGGTACACCAGGATTTGCTTTGGGCCTATTTCAGGCTCCCTATAGCTTAATGTATATTTATATTTATGTAATATATTCAATTCTTGGTCTATAATAATTATTGTAAACAAATATTGGGGTGACTAATGAAAGGGAGGGTAGTTGTATACGGTGGGTAAAGTTGGGTAGATAACATGCCTATAGGGTCCATTTCGATTCAAATGTGTTTTGTTAGATGACATGCCTATAGGGGTTCATTTGGTTCAAATGTGTTTGTTAGATAATATGCCTATAGGATCTGTTTTGGTTCAAATAAATTCTGTTTGCTTTACTTTTACATAATTAGAAGTCATGCCTATAGGATCTAAATCATCTTTAATTATAGAAATCATGCCTATAGGATCCAAAATCAGTTTAGCTCACGCTCGTAGATTCTGAATCAGTTTAATTAACTAACCCACTCCTCTCTTCAATGCTGTGTTAATTAACATCACTAGAAAGCATGCTTATAGGATCTTAATTGTCCATTTAAAATCGTTTACTATTTTACTGCATTCCTGATCAATTATTAGATATCATGCTCATAGGACATCACTTTTATATGCCTAGGCAAGCCTGTAGGGCGACAAAAATTCTGCAAACTGTAAAACCACGCCTTGTTATTTGTGAATGCTTATATTCAACAGGTTAAAACCAATAGGCAAACTGAATAGGTTTTTGACACTTTGGTTTTAACTTAATAATGTATATTCTCTGCTCACCTAGATATCATGTTCTAGGGCTTCTTTTAAATACCTGAAACTGTGTTTAAGACGTGCATTTGCTTGCTCTATTTGTGGAGGTAAAACTTGAGCCTTTAATTGTTCCACCTTTGGTCCAGTCCTAATTGTTTTGGTTGTCGCCAAGACTTTTCTCTTTTAAGTACCTTAGGATGGTCTAGAACTACTCAAACTAGAGGTCCTAAATACCTCAAGGCCACAAGGAAGGGACGGGTAGTGCACGCATAGGATGTCTTTTAAGGTTGCTAGAACGCTTTAGGCTATGACCAAAGGGAGGGAATTGGGTAGTAAGGATATGATGATTGCGCGCTAATGTCACGTGTAGCCCCTCATTGAGGAGTGATTACAGGGCATTGCATAGGTGTGATCCTATAGGCTAACCAACCTAGGACCCCTCTTTCCCAATTCCTATGTGTTTTAAATGAACTTCGTTTTCTTTACATATATATATATATATATATATATATATATATATATATAAGTTGTTCAAACCTCTCCTTGCTTCCATTACCTGAATCATACATGTGTTTAGAATGTGAAAACATGCCTTTATTTGCGAATATGTATTGAAATTGTTTACTTGTAAAATAACTAATTCACATAGTTTAAGTTCGGTCGGGACCCGCCGTTGTGGACCGCGAGGGGTGCCTAACACCTTCCCCTCAAGATTATTTCGAGCTCTTACCCTAATCTCTGGTAACGCAAACTAGTTCATGTGTTAATCACTCTAGGTGCCCTAACGCACCGTAATCCGTTAGGTGGCGACTCTTCAAATACCCAATTCCCAAAAGGAAATGAGTTGTTCCCCTATGAATGTCAAAACCCGGACTTCCCCATCAAAAGGGAAAAAAGGGGGCGCAACACCGAGCTTGTAGGACTCTTTGCCGATTACTCCGAGGATGCGGTACGGTCCTTACCAATTTTGGCCTAGCTTTCCTTCATTAGGGTTTTGAGTGTTTACGGTGACTTTCCTTAGGACTAAGTCCTCGACTCCGAAATGTCAGAGATTTGTTCTCCTGTTATAGTACCTTTTGATCCTTTGTTTTTGGGCTGCCATTCGGACCAGCGAAGCTTCTCACTTTTCGTCCAATAGTTCGAGGGTCGCAGTCATGGACTCATTGTTTGAGCTTTCGATGGTGTGTCGGAATCTGGCGCTTGGCTCCCCAACCTCTACCGATATCAAAGCCTTGACACTGTATACTAGAGAGAAGGGCATTTCTCCTGTGCTTGATTTTGGAGTTGTTCGATATGCTCATAGCACTTCGGGTAATATTTCTCTTCATTTTCCCTTTGCACTTTCCAACTTCTTTTTTAAGTTTTGAATGATGGTCTTGTTTGTAGATTCGGATTGACCATTTGCACATGGGTGGTAGGGTGTCGATAGGATTCTTTTGATTTTGTGATCCTCGAGGAACAGTGTTACTCTGCTTCCGATGAACTGCTTCCCGTTACCACATGTTATCTCGGAAGGAATTCTGAATCGGCACATGATGTGGTCCCAGATGAAGTTAATGACTTCTTTTTCTCTTATCTTTTCGAAGGCCTGTGCTTCCACCTATTTTGAGAAGTAGTTAGTCATAAATAAAATAAATCTAGCTTTACCTGGTGCCATTGGTAGGGGTCCGACGATGTCCATCCCCACTTCATAAATGGCCATGTCGACAAGACCGAATGCAGCTATTCACCGGGTTGGTGAATCATCGGGCCAAATCTCTGGCATTTGTCGCACTTACGGACGAACTCTTTGGTGTCTTTTTCCATGCTGTCCTAATAGTAGCCTGCTCTGATCACCTTTCGGACTAAGGAATTGGCACCGGAGTGATTTTCGCAGGTGCCCTCGTGGATTTCTCGGAGCACATAATCTGTGTCCCCCAGCCTCAGACATACTGCTAGGGGCCCATCAAAGGTTCTTCTGTACTGAATTTTGTTTTCGTCGATCAAGAATTGGGCTGTTTTGGTTCGCAGGGCTCTCGACTCTTTTGGGTCTGTGGGTAGTTTTCCACTTTCCAAATAATCGATATATTTATTTCTCCAATTCCACGCCAGGCTAGTGGAGTTGATCTCGGCAAAACCTTCCTCGATCACTGATTTGGATAGCTGAACAATAGCCCCGGGGAGTAGGTCATCTTCTTCGACAGATGATCCCAAGTTTGCAACGGCATCAACCTCGCTATTCTGCTCTCGAGGTATGTGGACCGGAGTCCATTCTTTGAAGCGGTGCAATATGACTTGAATTTTGTCTAAGTATCTTTGCATCCTGTCGTCTCGAACCTCGAAGCTCCCATTTACTTGGTTTACTACCAGGAGGGAATCACATCTTACTTCGATGACCTCAACTCCTAGGCCTTTGGCCAATTCCAGACCTGTAATAATAGCCTCATATTCGGCTTCGTTGTTATTCAGCTTTGCAGTTTTTATAGATTGTCTTATTATGCCACCCGTAGGCGGCTTCAGAACTATGCCGAGCCCGGATCCTCTTACATTCGAGGCGCTGTTAGTGAACAGGGTCCACACCCCGGAAGATGTGCCTGTTTTTAGTAAAAGTTCTTTCTCTGCCTTGGGAATGAGGGAGGGCAAAAAGTCAGCCACAAAATCCGCTAGAATTTTGGATTTGATAGCCGTTCTGGGTTGATACTCGATATCATATCCCCCAAGTTTGATCGCCCATTTGGCCAGTCGGCCCGACAACTCGGGCTTATGCAATATGCTTCGAAGAGGATATGTTGTTAAAACACAAATATGATGGCATTGAAAGTAAGGTTTTAGTTTTCGCAATGCGCTTTTTAATGCAAGAGCTAATTTTTCTAGGTGCGGATACTTGGTTTAGGCATCTCCATAGGTCCGACTCACATAACAAATAAGGAATTGCGTACCTTGTTCTTCTCAAACTAGCACACCACTTACCGCTATCTCAGATACGGCCAAGTATAAATATATCGTGTCATCCTCCTTTGGGGTGTGGAGTAAAGGTAGACTAGTCAGATATCGCTTCAACTCCTCTAAGGCACGTTGGCATTCCGGAGTCCATTCGAAGTTGTTCTTCTTTTTGAGTAAAGTGAATAAACGATGACACATGTCTGATGACCTCGATATGAATCGGCCCAAGGCTGTTATTCGCGCGGTTAGCCATTGCACGACCTTTACATTGTTTACCACCGTGATTTCTTTGATGGCCTTGATTTTGTCAGGGTTGATCTCGATTCCCCTATTTGACACCATGAAGCCTAAAAATTTGCCGGAACCCACTCCGAAGGCACATTTCTCGCGGTTGAGTTTCATGTTGTAGCTTTTGAGGATGTCGAATGTCTCCTGTAAATGAGTCAGATGGTCCTCTGCGCGCAGGGACTTAAATAACATATCATCAATATAAACTTCCATGGATTTGCCTATTTGATGTTGGAACATTTTATTAACTAGGCGCTGGTATATGGCTCCCACGTTTTTCAGCCCGAAGGGCATTACATTGTAATAGTATGTACTATACTTCATGATGAACGAAGTCTTTTCCCTATCCCCGGGGTTCATCTGAATTTATTATACCCGAAGTAGGCGTCGATAAAAGTAAGGGTCTCATGACCGCCCGTGGAATCGATCAAGCGGTCGATGTTAGGCAATGGGAATGAATCCTTGGGGCATGCTTTATAAGTTTTTATAATCTATGCACATTCTTAGCTTATTCCCCTTTTTGGGAACTACCACCACATTGGCCAGCCATTCGGGATATTTTGTCTCCCTAATAGACCCTATTTTGAGGAGTATTGTTAACTCGTCCTTGATGAATACGTGTTTTACTTTGGACTGAGGTCTCCTCTTTTGTTTCACCGGTTTGAACCTAGGATCGACACTTAGTCGGTGGGTGGTTATTTCCGGTGGTATTCTTGTCATATCTAAATGGGACCAAGCAAAGCAATCGATGTTACTAATAAGAAATTGAATGAGTTTTTTCCTGAGTTCGGGGGTTAATCCCATTCCCAGGTATACCTTTCGATCTGGGAGATGTTCAATCAAAACAGTTTGCTCTAGTTCTTCAATAGTCGACTTTGTTGCATCTGATTCTTCGGGGGCAACAAAAGTTCGGGGAGTGAGGAAATCTTCCTCGGGAGTCTGTTTGCCTCCCGGCTCTTCTGAGGTAGAGTGTATAGAATTTGATGCCTCTCAGTGGACCGCGAACATTTCCTTTACCGCGTGCTGTTCTCCATATATTGTCTTTATGTCGTCCTTTGTCGGAAACTTCATCATTTGATGTAGAGAGGACGATACTGCCCTCATGTTGTGTATCCACAACCTGCCAAGCAATGCACTGTACCTCATGTCATGGAAATTGGCGTCCTAAACAGCACCAGACATGTTGACCGGGAGGGTGATCTCCCCCTTCATTGCTTCGCCATCCATGTTGAAGCCGATGAGGACTCGGGAGGTAGGATGATCTGATCGAGCAGTCCGAGTTGTTCTACCACCTTTGACCTGATTACGTTGATCGAGCTACCTGGATCCACGAGTACATGTTTAATTTAAATGTTATTCAATAGAAATGAAATTACCAGTGCATCGTTGTGTAGTCGAGTCAAGGTCTCAAAATCTTCCTCGCTGAATGCAAGGATGTCCTTGGACATGCGGCCCCGAATTAACCCTTCCGTTGTAGTGGACACTTTTACTCGTTTGATAATGGGTCCTTGGGGAATGTTGGTCCCCTTGATGATCATATGAACGACATGCTGAGGTTTTGCCGCTCCGTTTCTCCTATCTGCCTCTCTTTCTTCCCGGATGGGATTTTTCCGAGTTTCCTGTTGATTTTCTTGGCGTGTACTCCCATTAGTGTGGGAACTGACGTCAACGTATTGGGCGTTGCATGAGACTGTACCCACGGGGATCGGTTCTGGTGCACTCTCAGGGTTTTGTGGTGGTACACCAATACCTGGAACAGCTACACCATTCTCTCCATGGTCCTCAAGACTGTTATTTTCATGTGCATTCAATGAGTTAGACATTTTGACCTGAAATCAAAGATTCTTGGACTAGAAAAAGTGTGAAAGATAACTTGCGTTATATAGTAAACCAACAAGAAAACAACCACTATTATTTTTATCCCCACGGTGGGCGCCAAACTATTTACCTTGAAAATGGTAATTACAATTAGATTTAATTTTGTGGTTCTAAAAAGACGTGATTTGTTTTTATGTTAGTTGTTAAGCAGTAGATGCTAAGTGTGACACTAGAAAATGGGATAAGAACTTTGAAAGCAGTATTTTAAGTAAACTGAGTGGTTGAGAATCGAGGCCTCGAGCCAGATTATACGGGGCCTCGAGGTCGAACTAGATACTAAGTTGTGGACAGCCGATGAAGGACTAACAGCTTTGAGAGCTTTGATGAAGACTCTCTAAGATCAATAATGAGTAATAAATGAAGAACAATTAATGAAATACAATAAATGTAAGCAATAAATATAAGTAATAGAATCAAGGGAGAATGTGTTTAAGTTAGAGAGCAGAGAATGTTCTTGTTCTTGTATTGAGTGTTGTGTGATCAATTCATATGTGCAAAAAATAACAAAGCTCCCCTTTATATAGGAGGGGAAATCCCAACATAGTACATGTGCATTTATTACAAAGAAATGTAGCTGGTACAACTACTTAGCAGTCTGGTACAGACTGGTATTATTCTTGTAGGTGTTGTCAGCTTTGACCACGTGCCTAGGGAACTTCCCGTTTATCCATGATAACCATCGATTTAAGTTGCCCCAAGGTCGGGCATAGAGAACCCTCGAGGTTGAAACCTCGAACCATGCCCCCGGGCCTTCGAGGTGAAGCTACGAAAAGACGTAATGATTGTCATACCTCCTTTTTCTATCCCAAAAAGGGATATAAGGTAGTTTTTTTGAATTTAAGTGACAATCGAAATGGGATTATTTATTTTATTCAGAGTCGCCACTTGGGATAATTTATGGTGTCCCAATTCACCAGTTTAATATCCCGAATCGAGGAAGATTTTGACTCTTATTTATGGTCTGCGAATACAGAAATCCGGGTAAGGAATTCTGTTAACCCGGGAGAAGGTGTTAGGCATTTCTGGGTTTCGTGATTTTAGCATGGTCGCTTTGATCATACTTGGCTTAATCAAATTGTCTAATTACTCATTTTAGAACCTATGTGGATTCGTCTCTTTTAATTAAGAAATTATCTTAAAACAGGTCACGCACACGTGTACCCATTTGTTTGGCGCGTCAAAAAATCATGACACGTGAACGCGTCCTCAATTAATAACGCTTTGTTATTATTAAGAGAGTTTGGTTGAAGTTGCACGAACGCATACCTCAATTTTTTTAAGAAAGAAAATCATAATTATGTTAAGCGAACGTATACATAATCACGATAATAGATTAAGTCGCGCCTAAAGCGTTTTCTATGAATATTCAGAATTATTTTAATATCTATTAATTTGTGAGAGATGGGCTAATCTGTGATTTATGGAAATGGGCCAATATGCTTGTAACTTTGGGGGGAAAATGGGCCAGCATGTTATTCTAACCTAATTCTATGTTCTGTCTAACTTATCAACTTAGAGCCAATTTGATTCTTATAACCTTTTTCTTAAGATAACCTCGCCCTTTGGGACTATATTTCCGCATGGTACTCTAATAATTTGCAGGCATCTTTAAACTCTATTTTTTCCATACAAAACTTAAAGAAAATTAATCGCTCCATGATTGTTAATACTGTTCGTTTCGAATTTAAAGCTTAACCATGTTCAATTCTATCTTGTTAAATTAGAAGCTCAAAATTAATTACTAAAATCCAAACATCATATATCTAAAGAAACATTGCAACAGAGAAATATGAAAAAAAAACTATAATATTAGCATCCAAACAACAGATCCAAACATATCAGTATGCAACTAGATATTCATTTCAAGTTAAAACATTCAAAAATTGACCAAATTTGTCACGGAAACAAAGCAGCAGAAGAAGAGAGAAACGAAAAGACCAACCGAACTGACATACAAGAGATCCAAACAGAAACTTTATCGCATCAAAGCTCGGACCTCGACGGAACCACAAGACGGATCTTCGGACAGGACCTCAAGCAACAAACCCAAAGCTGACGTCTCCAATGGGATCTCGAAATCAAAACAAAAGCAGAAACCGGACTCCAACTGATAAAAGAACAGCATAAGCAGCTGTTTGGAGAATCGTTTGGATTGTTATCGTCGATGGCGTCAGAGGTGGAGGATTCGTCGGCTGGTCTAGGTGATGAAGCGGGTGTTCTAGTCACTGATGGTGATGAAGGAGCGGTAGATTTGCTCGTTTTCTGGCGAGCTGGATAGTGGCTAGGGATTGTCGTTCACCCCCTCGCAGTAGTAATAGTAGCCATTGTTGGTGGTCAATTCCGTGACTATGGTGGTGGGACGGGATCGCAGCGATAACAATAGACGACTGTTTTTTTTAGACTAGGGTTCTAGTTTTTTGGCTGCTGATGGGTTCCTTTGGTTGAGGAAGAACGACGTGAGGGGGGGTCTCTTGGATTCTGCGGCTGATGCCTCTTCGTTAGGTTTTTTAGGTCTCCTTCAAATCAGAAACGGCTGGGCAGGGATCCGATTTTTTAGGTTATAATTTGGTTTATATTTGATAGGTGAAAGGATTGTGACCATTGGATTAAAATGGATCGATGGCTGGGATTAAAAGGTGTATTTGGGCGGGTCAGATGGGTTGATGGGTTATTTGGGCTAAGAGGAATTGGGTTGGTCTAAATTGGGCTCTAAGACTCTTAAAATTGTGGTCCAAAATCTTAGTTAACTCCCTTAAATAAAGATAAAAATACTACACAATGCAAAAACTAGTTCTAATTAATTAAATTAAACTATATTAAAATGCGAAACTATTTTTTTTATTATTTTCAAGATTATATAAAGATAAAAATAAGGTACTATTTTTTTTTGTATATATATATATATATATTAATTTTATATATATATATATTAATTTTATGAAAGGTACATAAACTAAAGTAACTAGATAAAATATTTTTGTAATTTTTATTTTTGTTATAAAATAAAATAAAATAGTTAAAACTAGTTGAAATAACGATATTAGTCCTAAACTATATTTTTTATGCTAAAATGTGTAAAAACTTGGGGAAGGGTCAAAAATCACATGCCTACAGCTGCCCCTCTTTGACTGAAAACACGAAGTATTTTCAGATAAAGAATGACGAGGCAGGTTTTTTGACCCGACCCTTATTTAGAGAGACCAAAAGTTAAGAGAAAAGAAAATGTGACCGAGCCCTTGTATTTGAGCTGCCTACATATCCTTGGCTATAAAAGAATCAGGCCACATGCAGTTCAGTCCTATAGTGATGGAGTGTACCGAGGAGGAGAGCCGATTGAGGTGTCGTTCCGTCGAGGTTTCGGTCCGCGGTCCTGTTATTACATCAAAAATCAAAATCTAAAGACTAATTAAGACTAGCAACTTAAGGGAACTAAAAACTGATCCTATTCTCAAGGAGGGATCCCTGAACTCAAGGAAAACTAAAGATAACCCCTTAAGAAAATTAAAAATGATCCTATTCTCCAGGCGGGACCCCTAAACTTAAGGAATGCTAAAGATTAATAAGTTAAGGAAACTAAAATAAAAAAACTTACCCTATTATCCAAGTGGGACCCCTGAGCTTAAGGAAACTAAAGACTATCAAATTAAGAAAATTAAAACTGGCCCTATTCTCCAGGCGGGACCCCTGAACTTAAGGAAAACTAAGAACTCTTCTAACTAGGGAGAATGCCTAGGAGGTAATGGTCATCTCAACTAGGGGAATGCCTAGCAAGTAAAACCTTCTCAAACAACCTTTATGCTGACCAGATTTGGGCACTACACTTGAAAAATTCAAGCTTCCAAGCTTTGATTTGGACATAGTCTTCGTCTCTGTTTCAAACAAAGAAAACTTGTGAGTTTAAACATGGTGGTTGGTTTGTGGCTGTCACGACCCAAACCAATGGGCTACGATGGGCACCCAGTACCTTCTCTGTCGGGTACCAACATAACGTATCTTTCTTATTACATCATCATATACACGTGATATACGGGCCTAATAGGCCAACATGATCATTTATAAACTCAAAACATAGGCCGACAAGGCTGTACAATCTTTCACGTACACGACATATGTCTACAAGCCTCTAAGAGTACATAAATATCATAAAGGTTGGGATAAAGTCCCGTCATACCAAACAATACACGTCTAAATCATACTAACCAAACGAGCAACTCCGAAGCAAATGGAGCGCACCAACATCTTCCGCTGAGCTGATAGCCTACTTGGAGGGCTCTCGACCTGTCTATCGGGACCTGTGGGCATGAAACGCAGCATCCCCAGGCAAAAGGGGCGTCAGTACGAATAATGTACCGAGGATATAAGGCACATAAATAAATACATAAGAGACATGGAAGAAATATAGAGTACACGACTCAACCTGTAAGTCTGAATAACTTTGTAAATCACAAAATAATTATAGTATCATGCATATGCGTATGAATGTCATGTCGTG